CCCCCAGCATGACACACAGTCCTCAGGCAGAAGCTGGCCAAGGCCCCCAGTGTGGCCTCCTACTGAGGGACCTTTCCCTTTAGGGTTCCTCGTCCAGTCCAAACAATTGATTTGCATCTTTGGTTCAGGGAACTGTCAAAAGGAGGTCAGTTCAGGGTAGTCATTGACACCAGTTCCTCCTCTTCACAAGCATGGATAACATCCCTAGGTGTTGTGTGTGGGATGTTCAGGAGCTTGGTCATGGCTGCTGTCCCATAGTTGCAGCTTGGTCAAATATAATCTTAGGTTCAGGATTCAGTGTGATTTTAAAATTGGCCATGGAGTAAGACTGTGGGATCCCAACAGGCAGAGAGATCCACCATCTGTACTGTGATTGAGTATCTCCGATTCAATGTTGTACTGTTGGTCTAGGGACACACAACTGACATGATGCTGATCTTGGCTTTGTTGCATCTGCAAGTGATCAACCACTTCAATCCATCTGGGCTCAGACTTCTTACCCAGCAAATTTATAAATATATGACAAGCCGAAAAAACAGCTGCACTGGTAATCCTTGTGGCCCTATTAGCCACCACAGGACTGTTTAGGCACTGCATGAGCTCTTGGCACACTGTGATATTGAATTGTGTGGTGTTGCCTGAACAGAATAGACTTATTCCTCATGGCATAACACACAGCAAGCTAGTTTTCCGCACATACTACTGACATAGGGTTGGCCTTGTCACACCTCGGTTATTTACAAATCAACTTCAGAATCCATGCCATGTCTGATACCAGCTACACTGATTTAATTTACATATTTAAATCAAATAAATTTCTGAAGTCAAATCCTTTTTAAAAGGTAGATTGATATTCCTGCTTGAAAACCCAAAGCAGTTATCACATATGAGAGATGCAGTTGCAAAGAAAAATGGAATGGAATGAAAATACTTGAAATGTTAAAGGGATTAAGGAATGATAAGTAAATTTATCTGCAGTGTAATGCCTGCTACCTATGTTATTTCATTTATTCTTCACAGTAAGTATTTAGTGTAAATATTCTAATTTCTACTTTAGAAATGGGGAAACAGTCCTCCAGGATATAAGTATCTTACCCACTATCTCAAGGCCAGTGTGAGAGAGGCAGGATGGAATCCCACAGCTGTGTCAAGCCATAGCCTGTAAGGAGACAGTGTAGGTGGAATCCAAGTAATTTTGCTTCAGTAAGGTGCGCTGGTTACTTTCCCCTTCTTTCTACCTAGGCACTAGTTCTTTCATTCAGCTCTATAGCTAGGGAATGCTCACCTATTTCGTGACAAATGGAATATCCTAAGAAAGGATGCAGATGCATCTGCATCTGCATCTGCATGTAAGAGATATGTACAGGAAGGAAGGAAGAGGCAGAGGGATTCCATGGCCTCTACGGGCATGCTACCCTCCATGTGTTCAGCTAGGCAGAAGCTCTCTGAACCCTGTCCTTTTGGGCTTTGATGGAAGTTTTCATTATATAGGCGTGATTGATTAAACTGTAGGCCTGCCATTGGCAATGAGATTAACCTCAGCCCCTCTCCCTGTCCTGAAAGTTGGGGATGGGGCTGAAAGTGCTTACGCTCTAATCCCTTATCCTAGAGCTACATAGGAGCTCCCAGCCATCAGTCAACTCACTAGCATACAAAAAGACATTACTATGTGGAGATTCTAAAAATTGTATGAGTTATATGACAGTAAGCAGAGTCCAGCACCAAATATATATTTCACAGTATCACACAAGTACATACCAGCTCAATCAGAATGCAAAGTTGCAAAAATGATACTATTTTTCATTCAGACAGAGTCTCATTCACCCAGGCTGGAGTTGCAGTGACGTGAACATGACTTCCTGCATCCTCAACCTCCTAGGCTCAAGGAATCCTCCTACCTCAGCCTCCAGAGTAGCTGGGACCACATCTACAAAAATACATGCACACATTCGTGCATTCATTCATTTATTTTTGTAGACAGGGGGTTTTGCTATGTTGTCCAGGCATGTGTCAGTCTCCCAAGCTCAAGCAGTCCTCCTGCCTCAGCATCTAATGTACTGGGATTACAGGCATGAGCCAGTGCACCCAGCCAAAATTTCTAATAGCATCTAATATGTGAAAATAAATGAACAAAAGATGTGCAATACTTCTTTGGCGAAAACTGGAAAACTTTATTGAGATTTTTTAAAAGTCAAATATCTCAGATAAATTCAGTTTACATTCTTTCACTTTCTTTTCATTTCAACCTGTGGTTACACTTCCCCTGCAATAGAAACATAACAGGAGGGAACATTACTAGCAGAACTGTATTCAGATGAAATTAAAGGTATGCAAAGAACACCAAAGTTGTAGTTTTATAAACTGGACTATAACCAGAAACCTAAGTGTCACCCTACAGCTAACATTCAACTAGACCTCTGTAGAGACTTTGAAGACACAATTCCAAGCATATACATTAGCAACATTTTTAAACACACCCTGCCTTTAGTGCTAGAAGGAAACCAAAAGACAGTCCGAGGTCAGAACACATTAAATCAAGTGAACCTATTAAAAGTGGCTTAAAGTAGATAGCAAACATGTATAGAGTTTTACTCATATACAACCAGAACACAAAAATACCTAAGCTACAGAAGGAAATTGTGAAAATGTATAATTTAATGTTTTGGCTTGAAACTATGTTCAGGATGTCCACTAGACTCCTGCAAATGGTCTGAAAACTATGTTTTGAGAAAACAGTTAATATCACATTAGGAGATACATAAGTGAAATGAATAGAAAGGACAGTATTGCATTTGTTTTTTCTCTGTTGTGCACAAGTGCAATCATATTGCTTTGGACTAGTTTGCCCTTCGATCTTTTGTTTTAACACGCAGTAAACTTTTGCATCTAGTTTTCACCTATAGTCCTCATGTCAATCTGAATGATGACATATTTTTCACCAGAAAGTATTCCCATTAGTATAATCAATTAAATTGTCATGTAAGTGTTAAGGTATCACTATCATGATTGATATTAAAATGTGAAAATTATATACATCATGAACAGTGTGGCAAAAAGAAAGACATGGAGAGGAAAATGAAAACAGAGAGTAAGACATCTGCAAAAGCTAAATATTTCCTTCTAAAAGTAACTGTTTTTGAGGGACAACTGGCAAATTTCACAAGATCTTCCACAGTCTTTCTATGTTCAGATATTCAGCTATTGCAGGGGTATATTAAATAATGTAGGTGTTCCTAGAGTATCAACTATTTCATCTACACCATGAAAATACTAGTGTTCAAGAATGCACGCTCTTTCAATTATGCCCTACATTCAATACCTGTGGCTTATTCATATTCTCTGTGATGCCTTTTCCATTTTCTTCAAGATCGTTTAAAGTACTGGATACTCTCTTCCTAGCTATTTCCCAAAAAAACCAATCTACATTAATTACTTTTGAATTAGTTTTCCTTTTGTTAATGATTTGTACCTTTCATTTACTGCCTGTTTCCTTTTCCCTTAGGTTTATTCTTTGACCCTTTTAATATTTTTTATTTCTTAGTGTTATTTTCTTGTGTCCTGTAATTTTCTATCTATCTATTTTAATACGATATGCATTTAGTGTTACAACTGTCCTAAGAATACAATTGAGACTTGTTCAATAGGCTCCTGGAAATCATCTACAAAGTATTTTAAATGTAAATAGTCTAATGGAGTTCTTTAGCAGAGGCAGAAATCTGTAATATAGAACCTCTGATATGGTTAGAGGTGATTCTACCATATGTGTCTTCACTCTAATTACACACAGTAGCTCATGAAAACTGACAGGAGGACAGGAAGCATGCTTAGCACAGGCATCTTACAACCAGCTTGAGCATCACTGAGCTACATGCATACTCCCTATTTCATGGGCCACAAAAACCTGACTGTCTCTTTCCATTTTATTATTCAGTCATTAAAGGCTTGACTGCTGGAAGAATGTAAAATGCAATCATTGGGTCTGGCCAGGGAGGTGGCTCACACCTGTAATCCCAGTACTTTGGGAGGCTGAGGTGGGTGGATCACCTGAGGTCAGGAGCTTGAGACCCACCTGACCAACATGGTGAAACCCGTCTCTATAAAACTACAAAAATTAGTAGGGCATGGTGGAATACACCTGTAATCCCAGCTACACAGGAGGCTGATGCATGAGAATCGCTTAAACCTGGAGGCAGAAGTCACAGTGAACAGAGATTAGATCACTGCAATCCTGCCAGGGAGACAGAGCGAGACTCCCTCTGGAAAAAAAAATGCAATCATTGTTTCAAAGCCTGAGAGAATTCAGAATTTGACAGGAACCAAGAACACTTGTGAAGGTCTTCATACAGGGAAACAAACATCAAGCAGAGTACCCGCTCATTATCTTAGGAGCAACAAAATCTCAACACAGATACTATAATTGGACTTAAGCTGATTGTTATGATAAACAAATCATGAAAATCAGAAAATCTTTTTATTCTCTTCAATAGAACCAGAGCATTCACAAATCAGCACTGAAATGGATTTTAATTTATTTGATTTTAATCTATCTGCATTCAATACTTTCAATAAAAGCAAAAATGGGTGTAGGATTTATGTGATTTGCCAAAATCTCACAAAGTATGTTAGAGCTGCTACTAGTATCCTTCAGGGATCAGTATATTTCATACAAAGTGGGATTACAAATGTACTATATATTTGTAAAAAGGAGGAATTAGAAAACAATCTGAAAATTGTTAGCTCTTGGCTGTACTAGAAGAAAATGCTTTCCTCTTTGATGATTCAATATGGCTTTGACCCAATTTTTGTCTGTACCTGATAGTGTTTCAGTTTTGCAGTCAGGCTTCTGGGGTCTGAACAACCTTCCAAAGAAAGTCTGCATTTGAACTCTGTTTTTCAAGGGGCAGTAATGTTCTCTCTTTTTATTATCAAAAGTATAATATTGTGGAATACAGAAAACACGTAATTTTGAATCTTAATGGATAACATACCTCCTTCTGGCATTTTAAATTGCTATGGTTTTGGCAGAATCTTCCTCTGGACATCAGGACCATCTCCGCATTCAATCCCAGTCTTTGACTGAGACAGATCCTGGAGATCAGCTTCCAGGTCAGGCACTAAAAAATACAAAAGATATCAACAGGAGCAGTTAAACAAGAATGATAAAGAAATGATCATATTCTTTTCCTCAGTGTTATACAATGAAAGCCTGTAGGCTACTGTGGTAATAAATGCAATGCAAAGATGCCCCGCCTTTGTCTTCCTGTATTATGGTATCTTATCTTAAATGACAATGTGAGGATAAATCACACCACACCTACATTTCCCATACTTTACCATTGTGTATTATCAACACACAGCTACCTAGGAAATCTGAAGTATCTCAGCTACCTAGGACATCTGAAGACTGCCCACGGATAGCATTTTAATCAAAACTTAAATGTAATTTTCTGAAGGAGTACATCAATGTATTGGTGGGCCTATGACAAATCTTACAATCCTGACTCTCATCACCTGTTGAGGTACCTTGAAAATGTTGGGGTTAAACTTAATTAAACTAATGCTTAGCTCTAAAGCTCTTATATATGACTTTCTATATGGTCATTAAGAAAAAAAGCATGCTACATAACAGCAAAGTCACTGTCTTCCAGTGAGAGTACAAGAAATGAAGTGCAAAGAAGTTAATGGGCATTGATGACTATCATATTCTGGAAGCCCCTTAACAGTGAATTGCTAAAATAATCTATGGCCCAAATTCTGTCTATGCTTAGTTCAAAAATGCTATCATTGAGGAAACAATTTCTGTTTCATGATAATTTTATCATTCGTTCTTTGAGATTTCTAATTATAAAAATATTTAAACAACTTTTAAAAGCCCCTTCAAAATCGTACTAATATAGTTACCTGTATGCCAGTGTCCTAAATGATCCAGCTTTTACCAAACATACTGTCAAAAATACCAATCAGTGGCTGTCATTCATTGAGCTCTTTTCTGGAGTTGCTACCCTGCTTCACTGAACTGCGTTTTTGTCCTGAGCTAATACTGAATTACCTTACGGTACAGACACTTTTAAGTATTAAGTATTTTTAAGCAAAATCATTCATATTTTCTAACATAGATGATAGGCAGAATGTAAACTTTGGAAGAAAAATATGAATTCCTCCTCCGTGAGTCAAGTGTTCTTGGTAAGTCTGAATCTCAGAGCCTCAGTTTTCTTATTTATTTTTAATATATTTATTTATGCATTTTTTGAAATGGATTCTCTCTCTGGCACCCAGCTGAAAGTGCAGTGGTACAGTTTTGGCTCACTGCAACCTCTGCCCACAGGCTCAATTGATTCTCCTGTCTCAGCCTGCTTAGTAGCTAGAATTACAGGGGTACACCACCTTGCCCAGCTAATTTTTGTATTCTTAGTAGAAACAGGGCTTTTCCATATTGGCCAGGCTGGTCTCAGGTTCCTGACCTCAGGTTATCTGCCTGCCTCAGCCTTCCAAAGTGCTGGGATTACAGGCGTGAGCCACTGCACCTGGCCTCAGTTTTCTTATTTATAAAATGAGGCTAAAATCCTTTTGCAAATGAGCTTTATTCAGGGTGTTATAAGGTAGGGTGACTGGGCACTCCACATGCTATTAAAGGGTGCTTAAAACACTGTGCACACCATGGCTGAGAAGATCACACTGCAACATCCTAAGAAGATCAAATTAAAAGACTGAAATAATGTACACTTTTATACAACGAATTAAACAGTTTCATCTGATTTGGGAAGGAGTGTATTTTCAGGCATACAAAATGCATCTCAAAGAAAGAGAGAAGATTCATCATATACAGGGACTGCAGGAAGCTGCAAACTATACCCATCACATTTCTAGCCCACTCTCAGCAAAAGTTTGAGATCCTTTCCTAATGTTTTCTTTCCTTCTGTTATTGGTCATGGCATAAGTCATGATGCACACATAGGCCTCCACCCCCCATAGACATTGTTTCTTTCCCTTCACAGCACCTTCAATCTGAGCTGCACCCTGATCTTCTCTCTTCTGATCAGGTGTAGGATCCCGACTTTCAGCTGGTGTTTCTTCTTGTTGAGGCTCTAGCACACTGGGCTCCTGGGACAAGGGGTGTGTGTGTGTGTGTGTGTGTGCAGATAAAAAAATTTCATATCATTGCATGTCAATAATATGAATATACAGATGACACAGATACATCTGATCATATGCATGTTTAAAGACATGCTTCAACACTACCCCAACACTAATCCACATATTTATTCTTCATAAAGTTACTCTTCGGTTTTCTACTCTAATACCGTTATCATCAACAGCTTGGATAGCCATTTAATTTACATTGGGTTGGATGTGTATAAGCTGCTATGAAAAAGCATGAGGAGGAAATCATCAGTCAAATCTGGGAAAAGCAAGTTCTCACATCCAGGCAAAACCAGTATACAGCCCTCTTGGGTTACGCTCCTTCATGAGATGCATTGATCATTTTTTATCAACATGGGATACCTTCATCGGTGTATCTATACTAGTTCAACAACACTACCACAAAAAGAAATTTCTGCTAGTAGAAAACATCAAACATTGAGTCACTCACAGGGATATGCCCAATTAGTTGAGCAAGTTGTAAACATCGTCTTGGTCTATATCGTCTTCCTCGCCACTCCATATTTCACTCTGCAAATGGAATAGTGTGTACATTGGGAGGCCGAGACTGATGGATCACCTGGAGTCAGAGTTCGAGGCCAGCCTGGCCAATATGGTGAAAGCCCGTCTCTACTAAAAACAAAAAAACTTAGCCAGGCTGTGGTGTCAGTGGCCTGTAATCCCAGCTACTCCAGAGGCTGAGGCAGGAGAATTGCTTGAACCCGGGAGGTGAAGGTTGCGGCCAGCCAAGATCGCACCATGGCACTCCAGCACGGCAGGGAACAAGAGCAATACTCCTTAAAAAGCAAACCAACCAACCAAACAAAAAAACCCAGAATACTGTGATTGGAAAAATGCATGTGAGAGTATACTATATTTGAGCACTTTCCATGGCCGAATGTTAACTTGCAATTTTTAAAACTTTGGTAATACATTGAAAAGTAAGTCAGAGGGCATGTATAAGTGTGTATGCATTCTGAATCAAATACTTGCACAGCCACTTAAGTTCCTCAAGCTAGCTGAGCAATACCTTAGGGCTTATGGCCAGAGACACACTGTTACTTCCTATGAGGCATGATTTCACAACTGGACTCTCCACCATGAGATATTTATGAAAACACAGTTTGAGAATTAAAGTACCCACGGCTTTTGTCCTTTGGCACCAAAGGAGCATGCGCATTTGCTAGGCCCATTTCCCCCGCAAAATCAAGTTTTGTTGGAATGGAGAGCCCTGCTCACACATTCAAACTTCCAAAATGGAGATGCGAAATTGCCACACAGCGCTAGACGGTCCTTACCAGGTGGGCACCTCTGTGGGGTGCTATACAAACCTTGGGGCCCCAGTCACTAGCCTGGAGTGTTCCCACTTTCCAGGCCCCTTCCTTACCTCCCACGCCATCTCAGCCCTGATTCCCCTTGAGGAGTCTGGAAACAGTCCTCTTTTGGGGGTTCTAGGCGTTTCTGGAACTCCGATACCACAAACAGCACTACAGTATCCCCTCAGCTTCACCTAACCCGCCCTTCCCCGACTCCGAGGCCCTCCTTCCTTCATTCTGACTCCCACAAGACAAGAAGGCCCATAGCCGCGGGGTCACAGAGACGGACTACAACCGCAAAGCCCTTCTCCCTCAGAGATCTTGCTGTCGAGTCTCCTCCGGAAGCCCGCTGTCTGCTCCTCACCCTGACTCACACTACAGCTCCCAGGTGAATTGGCCTGTAGACCTACCAGTTTCTTATCAGTAGAAGAGAAAGAATCCAGAACTCAGGGACTGGAGCTGCACGCGCACAGCTCCGCTGCATTCACTACGTGAGCGCCAATGGCACAGTGAACTTGCGCAGTGAAGTGGGTCCCGAAGGAGCATGCGCAGTGAAGTTCCCTCTTGCCTTAAGGGCTGCACTCCCCATCCTTGTCCCGCCCCGCCATGTCCTCTGCCTCTTCCAAGGTCCCCACTAAGAACTTTGGAATACATCCTCTCTGTATGTTTTTTTATGCCTCTGAGACTGAATACCTCAAATAACGTTACCCTTCAACTCATTCCATGCTCATCTGACCCTCGTCCCCGCTATGTCCCTCCTTCCTTCCCACTATGTCCCTCCTTCCTCCCTACTATGTCCCTCCTTCCTCCTCTGCCCGGGACCCCACAACAGCAAGGCCATGGCGGTGTCACTGCCTTTTTTTACTAGCAGGTTGACGGCCTCCATGAGGCCATGGACCAGTGGCCCAATCAACGAGAAGCCCTTGCGCTTTCCCTCACACTCACTGACACTTCAACTTCTGGGGGGACTGATCTGTGGACCTACGTGCTGTGTCGTAATTGGCAAGAGAGAAGTCAGAACATTTCTTTCCCCAGCACGGCAGGAACAGAAGGCAGACACCAGGTGCATGTGCAGTAGGAACTTGTGTAGCAAAGGGCCTGCCCATTGATTCTAGACCTTGTAGGGCCAACCATGGTCTTCCTGCTGTTCTCAGACCCGCATCCACAGGGTGTTTGTAGTGGGAAAAAGGGGACTTAAGAGAGCTTTCGTTTTTCTTTGCCCAAACAGTCTCATGCATTGAGAAACGTTGGGAACACACTGTCCCATGTCACTCTTAATGGAGGATGTGTCTCAGAAAGACCTGTTGTGAGAGAAACAAACTATTTTTGTATTTTTATTTATAAATGATTTTTTTTTCAGACAGGGTGTGGCTTTGTCACCCAAGCTGGACAGCAGTTGGATGACCTTACCTCACTAAAGTCTCGATCTCCTGGGCTCAAACATCCTCTCTGCAGCCTCTCAAGTGGGTGGTACTACAGGTGTGAACACCACACGTGGGCAATTAATTTACTTGTTAGAGCCTGGTTTCACTCTGTTGCCATGCTGGTCTCCAATTCCTGGGCTCAAGTTATCCTCATACCTTGGCCAATTTTTATACATGCTTTGATTAATCACTTTTTTTCTCTGGGTCTCAGTTTTCTGCCATGCTTCTAATGAATGTAATGGATTAAACTCATGTGGAGACTTAATATATTCGCACTTACTATATTTTTTTTTTAGGTTGTGTTATTGCACATTTAAATCTCTGGACTGGTAACTGATTTTCCTGAATATACCCATAAGCAAGTCAGACCGTGTATTATGGTTCAGGAAAATCCATTGATATTGATGATAGGATCTAGGCTCAGTCTATTATGACATGATGCACAGTAGTGGTGACTACGTGCATCATATACTGTACTCCCCAAATAGCAGTCAAGTAGCTTGTTTGTAAGACAGGGCTGACATCATTTGCATAATGCCATAAGGGAAAGCACTACTGCGACAGAGGCACTAGCATGTCAGAGGTAGAAGGGATTTAGGTATATTTGTTCTGATTTTGAAATCTGGTGTAAAGTGGGTCTTTTAAAGTTGGGGACTGATTTGGTTAGAGTTACGTAGGGATCATCATGATTTAGGATTGGTAGCGCCAAGAAGACGAAGATTTTTAGGCAACAGTTCAATGAGTTTGGGATTGAAAAATGTCATTTGACACTTTTTACTGAAGTGTTGATGGATCTCTCAGGCAGTTGCTGAAATGAACAGTAAAGTTCTTTTCAACTACTATTTTCCTGGGCAAGAGATTCCTGTGTTAGTAAACTTATGTTGATGAAGCCAGTGGCGTATCAACTCTCCTTAATGTAGGCAGTAAACTGTGCGCATGATTCCTCTTCTTATTACTTCTGTATTACTTGGCGGTTTAATGTGGGAAATAGTATATGGAAGCAAAGGATAGGAAAGGGGTCATGATTAGAATGTAGCCTTTTATAAATAAATTGGGGCATGTTGTTGAACTGACTCTTACATATTCCATGCAGCTGGGATTCTTTTAGAGAAACATCTTGAGTTGGAAAAGAGAGGTTGCTCAGTCTCTCTCTGTCTTTCTCTCAAAAGCAACTTGAGTAGGAATTGTGGTGTTTCAAATTGTTTTTTTAAAGGAGTGACAGCAGTAGTAATCATAATCTGTTATTTAATTTACCTTTTATCTTTTTATTCTTCCTTGGAAATGACACTATCATTATCAAAGTTTACTTTCTTTTGTTTCTTATTAACTGCAGTTTTTAATATAGTACAATCAGAAGTGCTCATAGAATGGGAGATAGTGGTTTCTGGACTGAGACTTTCTGTGAGCAACTAATTAGCAAACGGTCAATGTCATGCCATCAGATGGCTGGATGGTAGTGTTGCATATTGTATTAGTTAGTGATCTGTAGAAGGACAGAACTAATAGAATAGATGTATGTGTGAAGCAGAGTATATTAAGGAGTATTGACTCGTGCAGTCACACAGTGAAGTCCCACAATAGGCCACCTGCAAGCTGAGGAGCAAGGAAGGCAGTCTGAGGAAGGCTTTCTACATAATGCTTGAAATAGCCCTCAGTGATGTTTAAATTTGTCAGTTTTACTCTGGGTATTTGATCCTCAGCAAACTCATTTGTGAAGTCATTGAGTTGGTGAGAAGGAAGACTGATTCGTTGTGGGGCTTTACTGCCTACCATGTCTTTCTGCAGCTGCAGTGTGAGTTCATGTGTGTGCTTCTGCACTTGTCTGATGCTGCTTTGATATGTTCTCTTTTATTTCCCCCTTTCTTATCGACTGTGTCTTATGGTTCCTATTTTGTACTTTATTAGCATGCAGTGACAATGACATCTGTGGTAATAACTGTTGATCCACTTTACATGAATTTTAAAAATATTTTCAAGTGTGAATATTTTTTCTTGCCAACTTTCATTAAGTACTTCGAGGAGTCGAATGCAATTCAATAAGTTGATGTTAGATCATACTGGGCTATAATCCTGCTAAATTGCTAATCATACTAATTGTTGTTATGCCTCAGCTTTTATGTCACTATAATGCTTAGATAATTGACACAATGACCAAGACATAGAAAGGATTCTGAGATACTGACTTTTCTTTTTATTTCCAAATTTTACTTTAAGTTCAGGCATACATGTGCAGGATGTGCAGGTTTGCTACATAGGTAAATGTGTGCCATGATGATTTACTGCAAAGATCATCACATCAACCAAGTATTATGCCCAGCATCCACAAGCTAGTCTTCATGGTCCTCCTCCTCCTCCCACCCCCACCCTCCAGTAGGCCCCAGCTTCTCCCATGTGTCCATGTGTTTTATCATTTGGCTCCCACTTCTAAGTGAGAACATCCGGTATTTGGTTTTGTGTTCTTACATTAGTTTGCTAAGTACAATGGCTGCCACCACCATCCATGTCCCTGCCAAGGAAATGATCTCATTGTTTTTGTGGCTGCATAGTATTCCATGGTGTGTCTGTACCACATTTTCTTGATCCAGTTTATCATTGATAGGATGGACATATGAAATATCACAAATACACCTGGTACTTGCTGTGGGAAATACCACACTGTGGTGGGGTAGACAGACAAACAGAAGAGCAGTTGAAGTGCAGAGGAGAAACACAGGGAAGGGAACCAGAAGAATAAAAAACAATTAATGTAGAGGCCATGAGGCAGGAGCAAACACCACAATGTT